ACCTTTACATTTCCTGTGACACTCGTCATATGTGCCAGGGTTCTGGAGTGGTGAATCTGCATCCGCTTTCTGCTGGTCAGATTCGGGTCCTGGAGGGATGGAAGACACTGGGGGCATGGTGAAGCCTGGGGGTACGGCGACCAAACCCGAGACCCCTTGACCACCAGCTGGAGCTAGGGCCGGACTGGGTGAGGCAGCAGCCAACACACTGCCCATGGTCTAAGACTGTAACAAACTGCAAGAGCGACAGGCAGGGAATAAACAATATTTTTCATCATGTTACTTATATCAGTGGTATTAAAGCACAGAAAACAGAACTGACAGATTTAAATATCTATGAACACAGACACGTGTTAAGCACCATTAGTGAGCTACGGATCTGTAGTTGCAGTTTAGTTTTTGCAACAGTTGGTTGCAGTTTCAAAAACTCCCATTAATAAAATTAAAATTTGTTATCCATTTTTTTGTATTCCTTTTAGAGTCAAATTTGGAGCTTGCTATGGAGCGCTTTGTTTATATGATTTATCTGAAGTTTTTCTTTTGTTTCTTTTCTTCTATTTCCACTAGTAACTAAATAGTCTCTTCAGTGTGCTTATTGGTAAAAGAAATAACAAATTTCATCAAGAACTTGAAATAATTTTTTTCTTTCACTTGAAGGATAGTTATTCAATTAAATAATGTAGGAAAAACGTTTTGTTTCAAGGTAGATTATTCTTCACCACTGCTTTGAATATAAGATAATCATATTCTACCTCAATAAGGAGCATGACAAGACATTTTTAAATCTGTTAGCTAAACGAGATAGACCATTTGTTTTAAATGATTCTGTTAATAATGGGAAAAAATGTTTTTGCGTCTCAAAATTTTCATTTTGAAAATTAGGGATAAACTGCCCTGGTTTTCAAGTCATAAAATACGGTGGATGTTTTACATACATGATCTTAATGTCCTATGAGATTTGTGCTAATGCGTCTTTAGATTAGATGTACTACTGAGATAGGAAACTCAAAAATGTTGCCAATACTTCCCAAAAATCAATTCTAAACACACTTCCATTAAATTCCCACGTTACACTGTCTGCAGCACTACCCTGTTGTCCTGTACTGGCTGTAATAGTAAGGCAGGCTAATTGTAGCAAAGGCCCACTCTGGTCAAATTCCACATATAAAACACGGATGCATAAAAAGAAGTGATATCACATGGCAGCATGAGGCATTTAAAGCGGGCACACATGAAGATTAACACACAGATGAAGGAAACTATCAGAAAACTGTATTTCATCTCCCAAGGCTAATGTAAGGTAACATGGTTGGTGTTAGCTAGTTGGCTAGGTAGCCATGTGGAGGCAACCACGAGATGTCTTCGTTTACAAATGGCCAGCATGGCTGTTTAAAATACTAGCGCTGGCAAAGAGACACTATCTGCCACACTCAAATTATAACACCCATATGTAGTATTAAAATGCTGCTACTCACAGACGAACAGGGTCCAGGGGGGTAGTTGCAAACCGGTAAAGTTCGCGACAACGTCCGTGAACCGCACTTCACAAGCGCCCACCCATTATCCGCTTCTGACTTTTGGATTGGCTGATGGATATTTTATTTAAATAGCGATTGGCTGAGAGAGATAGACTGGGCGGGCTCAGTGTTGCTGACGTATGGTGAGGTTCATTCGTTGAACGTTGGATTATTTCAGAGTCGCACTGAATGACATTCCAAGGGTACGCCTCGTTTAAGTTCCTTTGCACACTTGTGAAATTGCAAAGCTTGTAAAGCTACATTTCAAATTTCTGCATCTGGTGCCCAAGTTTTATTCCAGACATTTGAGGCTGGTAATAGCAAAATGTGAGAAAAAGATTTAAAACAGGTAAATGTAAGAAGAGTTAAATAGAGGAAGCATTCAAAGTGAGACAAATCATGGATAAGAGCAAGAAGGAGCAAGGGATTGTGGGTCCCGCTTAAATAAAATACAATTCAACAACCTCACTGCAGATGTTTTCTCTCTTTTTTTTTTAACAAAATAGAGAGTTACTCTGTTGTATTGAAGAAATCACTTGCACTTGTGCATACTGGTTATCTGAATTTAGCACAACAATTAAAATTTATTTTTAAATAGAAATCTTACACCTATCAAAAGCTTGTTGCAGAGGTGCATATGTGGATTGGGGCATAAAAACTTGCCTAATCCTCAATGCACTACATCTGGTGGAGGGATGGTATGAATCAGCAGGTCCTTTCCTGGAAAAGCATGGCATTTAGGATCACCTTCACAGTGAACAATCAAGATGAAATTCTGGTGCCAATCTTCTCCCCTACCATCCTTTAGACTGAACTCCATTTTCCAACATACAGAGTGAGGTTGATCAGAAACTACCTCTGATTGAAGAGGATGAATCAACCTCAAACCAGACCTTTGAACTGGCAATCCACCAGTTTCAGGACAAATTCCTACCTTCTGAGCTACAGTCATCCTTATATTGCTACTAACTATTTTGTACAACATTTGTTCATATCCCTGATGTGTTATGTTTGCTTCTGCTTGTTTCTTTGCCAAGCAGCATGTGATACAAGCATATTTTGACCCATATTCAGTCTTGGGCATGTTATTTACAGCTGTAAGGAACACGGCTGTTCACAGACAAAGAAAAAGCTGTTGTTTTTGACAATGCGTTTGGTCAATGAAAATATACAAAATAATTATTTTCACATAATAAAAACATAATATGAAAACCTGTTAAATGTACCAAATGGGCACAACCATAAGTATTTTATAATGCAAAAGGGAAAAAAAATGAACCAGTATAAAATGCTTGCAAAATACATCAATCTAATGAGGATGGGAAAATATTTAACTGTAGTCAATTCCACTGCTATAACCTGGTCTAGCCACTGACCTTAAGATTATAAAATTAAAAGACAGAAGAAGAGTTTCTGAATGAGTTAATCCTTTTGCAAACATGCTGTGAAGACAGCTGGCAGTCTGTGTTTATCAGCTTTGTTCAAATCTAACCTGACTATTGCTGAGAGTTTAGAGAGGCCAGCCGTTTAAATCTTGTAAAACTAAAGGTAATCTTCTTGGGGAAAGAGGACACAATCCATTTGGAATGTCCTGCGTATTTGTTCCCCTCAAAGATAGATATCATGTACAGTTCTTAGCAAATAATAAAGGAGTTAAATGCAAATAAAAATAGTTTTTGTGTAAAATAGTTATTCATTGACCTTAAAAATATTAAAGTACAAAATGATTTAGTATAATATCACATTTCTGGAAGCACTGGATGATGGTGGTAACTGGAGCATCCAGTTTTGTCAGATTTTAATAGCCATGTTGATCCTAGTTGATAGAAACATGAACATAAAGCCTTTATTCCTCTTCAAATCAATTCTGCTTTTCATGAGTAGTTGTATTTTATTGTGTTGAATGGTTGTAGCATTTAATCTATGTAAAGTCCAGAACATTTACATGTTAAATTGTAGTCCCGTCATGCAGTGTCTAGTACGTGTGTATATATCAATAGTTCTAACTTGATGAAGTTTGAACCACTGAAAAAAAAAAAGTCAACCAAGTTTATAATATCCTTTTAGTTTTGTATGGCCAATGACTTATTTCACTGCCACATCATTTCATAAATGCAACAGTAACAACACAAATGAAAATGTTGAACAAACTTTATAACAAATAGTCAATAACTTTTGACAAGATAGAAAAATAGATACAGGCATACAAACAATAACACTGAAACAAGATACCATTTCCAATCTCACTTGCTGAAATACAGAGGGATTTGTTTCTTTACAGTCAGTAATGAAAGCAACATTCACAAAAGGAATACTGGGATCTTCAAATAAACTTTGCAGCCCTGTATGTTCTTTAAAGCCTCTTTCATTTCCTATTATGTTAAGTTTATGGTCAGATATGTATCAAAAATAAAAGGCAGGAATTCCGATTTCATTAAGAATTATTATATATATTTTACAAATATGTGCAAGTAACTAAAAGAAAAAAAAATCTTCTACATTCAAGCTTGTTTACATGCAGTTTCCCATTTCTGTTCATGCCGACTTGGAAAAGAGGAAACTCTTCATTTTTTTATGTCAGCATTACCCAGAAGTTTTATTTTTATATTCACAAGATATATGTCAAAAACAGCAGCTGTATGATTTGAACATGCCTTCCCAGATGAGGCATCTGGCAAGGCATTAAAAGCTCAGCGAAGGCCACATTTGGGATGTGGTCCAGTGTTGAGTCTAATGCTGATATTTTCCAGTTTTTCCTCATATGAGGCAATTTCTTTGCTGAATGCCCTGAGTTTGATGATTAACTGTGTGGAGGTAGTTGTGAGATCCACTGGAAATATTGCACTGAGCTAAAATAGTGCAGACGAAGTCTTTAGGGGATGGGAAGCACTAGGAAGGAAGTTGTGTGGCGTAGTTGGAGGTGAAGATCCACGACTGTGGTTTGAAGAAGGGGATCCTAAAAAATTGAAAAAGGAAAAAATGAGGAACTGAGGAATTTTTATTGACTGTGCACAAGTGTCTTTGTTAAATGTTCTCACCATTTTCCATATAGCAACTCTGATGCGGTGACACCGACACACAAGGCTGCTCTTGAACTCTGATCTGCTTGGATCCTCTTCCTCGTAACACATCTGTTATCTGCAGAAGATTTTAAAACTTATGATAGTCTTTGTGCCACACACTGGTATAAATACTTTTAAAAACAGATTAATACAAGTGGAGAAAACATTGCACCATTTAGGTTTGGCCTCTAGAGGGAGGAATGCATGCATTCTTCCATTTTTGGCTCGAACTTATTTCCACTGTTTAAAGCTGAGTTGAGTCAACTTGGTTTTGCAATTGTTTGTGTTTGTTCTGATGTAACTTTAGTGAATAGGTGGGATTTTCCATCTTGAAATTATAGTGAGACATTAAAGTGTAAACAAACACACCACTGGAGATCCCTCGGGGGTTTTCCTGTTTTCATGAAATGAGACTTTCCTAAAAGCAGAACTATCTTAAAACAGAGTTTTAAAAAATGCAGTTATTTTCTTACTTTGTTATTTTGGCCACCATCACTGGCGTATCATTGTGGTAGTTCTTGAGACTACTGTCTGCTCCGCTCTTCAGCAGCAGCCGGACGGTATCCACTTGACCTCGGCCGCAGGCGATGTGCAGGGCCGTGTTCCCGCTGTACGACTGGCTGTTGACGTCACAGCCATTCTGTGAGAGAGAAACAACAGACTGATTCATAAAGAAAACCAGACTAGATGATGCTCAACATAAAAAAAGCAGGTTGGTTTAATCATAACAAGATAAAATAGAGAGAGTAGTTTCAACAGAAATGTGATCAAAACGGGAAAGAAAAATCCTCATATGCACAGTTCAGCAGGTAAATGCAGAGAATGAAGGCAGTCCCACAACATGTCGCCATTTAAGAAATACATGGCAACATGTATTTCTTAGAAATACATGTATATAAGCCAGAAGGAAATAAGCAAAAACAGTATAAGGTAAAAAGAGAAGCTTAAGAGAAGAAAAGCATTTATATCCATTTAACCTTTTCTAAATTTAGCTACATAACCACAAACTTAAATGTGTATTATTCAGATTTTAGCTGATAAACATAGCACATTATTAAAAAAAACAAAAGAAAAAAAAAACAATTCCTAGTTTTTTTTGGGTTTTTTTGCTACAAATAAATATGATAAGTTGGTTAGAGCACTGCATTTGCATCCATACCCCTTCAATCTGACATTCCTAAATAAAATGTAGTGCAATTGACCTTTCTAATAATTAGTTCACTTCGAGCAGAATCTGCTTGTGGGTAATTTGATTTCAGTAAAAATACAGTAGTAATGTGAATGCCTCAGATAATGTCAACCACATCATAAAGACCCAGGAGCAAACCAGAAAGGGATACAGCTGTGGAAGAGTTTAAAGCAACAGTAAGTTATTGTCAAAATATGAACATATCAAAGCAACAGTTCTTTCACCTGAGCTATGGATTCCTGTAGCTCTTCCAGAGCAAAATAACATTATTAGACAGGCAACTATATTAGTACTCCACTGTGGAAGTGAGGCAAGGAAAATATCATTGCTGAAACTAAGTCCTAGAAGTTTAAATTTACCACAACCCAGATAAGAGACAGCACAAACATTAAGAAGGTTTAGTCATACAAGTCTTCATTTTTCTTTCCACCTTTCATGCACAATGCCATGTATGTCAGAAAACTAGCATTGCAAACCTAAACACACCATCTCAATCATGAAATATGGCAGTGGTAGAAACATGCTATGGGGATTATTTTCGACAGGGGCAGGAGAGAGAGAGTCAGATGAGAAGAGTGGTAGATGTAAATGCATGGCGAAAAACTTGCTAGGCTGTGATAGGAGTGGATGTTCATCTTCCATTGGAAAAACAATCCTGAACATTCAGCCAGGGCTGTTAGGGAAATGTTTGGAATGCAGTATATGTATGCTTTAGAAAGGTGCTGTCAATCTTTAACAAGACTTGAAAACAAAACTTTTGACCAACATTCTCAAACCAATCTCACCATGCTTGGATTATTTTGCAAACAAAAATGGGCAAAAATCTTTGCTTCTAAATCACTCAGTTGTAATTTTGAATGAAATCTTGTGGAACAAAGCACTGATTCACGGGGCTGAACGCATATGAGTTTTATTTTAAAACTGTGAATCGGGCGTGCTATGATGGCGTAGGGGGTTAGAACAACCCACGTATGGAGACCTTAGTCCTTGACGTGGCCGTCGCGGGTTCAACTCCAGACACTGGCAACATTTGCCACATGTCTTCCCCTCTATCTCCATCCCCTCTTTCTACTTTCAAAAAATACAGGCCACTAGAGCCAACAAAAATCCTCGCAGGAGAAAAAAAAAGAAACTTGAATCATTTCCCTTAAATATTTTGTTCCATCACATAAAATTTTACTAAAACACATTGAAGTTTGTGGTTGTAACACACTAGATCTGAAAAAGGCAAGGGGCTTGGTACTTTCTTCAGACACTGTAGCTGTGTCACCAACCTTTCCCCCCTTGTTTCAGTCACCACAAAGCATAATTACCTCAATGAGGAAGTGCACCATATCTGCATTATTGCTTTCCACAGCATGCATAAGAGGACTCTGGCCACTCTTAATGTCCTGATAGGAGGAAGAATAAAAAAACCACCATCAACACGATAGTCAAAAAACAAAGATACTTGACACGATGACCTTTACAAGTCGTTTAACCCACAGTACAGAGTTTGTGGATCTGGGACTGACCATCGCGTTGATGTCTGCTCCTGCATCCAGCAGCATTTTTGCCAAATTTTTATGGCCTTGCAGCACAGCCAAATGAAGAGGACTCAGACCTGAGGACATAAACAAGTAAAAATTCAGGTTGAAACATTTGGCTCACTTTTCCACCTTTAAAAATGTATAATTCACAATAGTATAAAAAAAAAAAACAACAACACGAATTGAAGTCACAAGCACTGCTTTAATGAATGCAAGTGGCCAGATATGGTGCTATTGTAATGATGCGAGTACACAGTCAAAATGATACCATTTACCTAGACTTGTAGTAACTGTCATGCAAGCAATGTTTTCGGTGCCGTGCAAATATTAAGACATGACAGACCGAACAGACTGCAGAGTAAGGAAATGTTCTCATCCCACCTACATAACTTAAAGCTTCCAACCCCCACCTGAAAATAAAATGACCTTTTTTACAGCCCCCCACAAACTGTAATGCACAGTTGAGGGGGTGGTTTGTGTTTTTTCAGGTATACTCAGAGCAGGTGAAAGCACCAAGCAGCCGTGGGAATAGAGCCAGACTTTAAAAAAACCAACACTACACTACAAATAGTTAAAAAAGCCAGCTAAAATCAGATTAAATTAACATTTAATTCAAAAGTAGAAACAAAGCATTTCATATGTTTAAACTACTGATGCTACAAAAAGGTTTTCATGGCAGCAAGTAATTTATAAAGTGTGGGAACAGAAAAAAGAAGGACTGAAAAAGTTACGTAGAATTTTACAAACAAGCACACATGAGCTCACAAAATCCCTTAATGGAAACAGTTATCGTAGATCATTACCATTGTCATCAATAATTTAAATATATTTTTAAATGATTGGAATTGGATTGCCAAACTAAACTCAACTCTCAAAAGTTTTGTTGTTTGCTTTAGCCTCCACCAAAATCCCCAAGAGCTGTTCAACAGGCATAATAAAACAAAAGTTGTTTTTGAATATATAAACTATATTATAGGTAGGCATGTTATTTTGTGGACTTTGCTGATCTGGGTTTTCCCCAAATAATTTCAACCTTCAACAAAAGTTATTCTATCATCATCATGTGATTTTAAAACAAACAAGAGACATGTTAGAGTTAGCCTAGAGCTCAGCTAAGAGATATCACCAGAAGGTAAGACATCATTTTAATGCTGACTGTAGTTATAAAGGTTACAGTAAAAATATGAAAGTATGCGACTGTCACACAAAACAAACACTGCACAACATCATATGTTAAATGGAAAATGATTATATCTATGTGGAGTAATACTTATGTTCTCACCACTTATATTTATTAAATCTAGTGAATAATTGTATTGTACTTTGAAGCAATAGCAACAGCTGCTTAGCTGTCAAGCATATAAACAGCATTTGTTTTATTTATATAATAAACTGGGACCTAGTATGGGTAAACACCTATTCCTAGAGGACTGATTCATATCAAGCTCAAAAAATCCTGATCAGGAAATCTCTAAATGGAATGTGCCACAACTAATTACATTAATAACAAACAGTTGGAAAAGTGAAGACTTGACCAACGGATCTCATAAATGTTTGATATTTTATTAATTTTACCCTGTATTGAATGTGTATTTTTAACAGATAAATTGTATACATGGAAAATCGCTGTTCTCATTGAACACAATGTTAAAGAAACACCTGTAAGTGAAATATCAATATTCACGGAAATAATATTTGTTTTTTTTTTTAGAAACTGCATGAAGTAGAGACCACATGTCACAGCATCCAATTAGGAAATGTTATTAAGAGAGGTGGTGATGCAACGGCGCTTCCGTGCATATGGCTTTGCTTAAAGCAGAAGAGTGTACATCACAACTCACCTTCAAAGTTTCTGATTTCCAGGCAGGGTGAAGATGAGGAGAAAGACAGTAGTACAGGTAGGCATTCGAGCAGCTGATATTCACAGCAGAGATGGAGTGCTGTTTGGCCGTGACGGTCCAAGACAGCAGGGTCGGCCCCTGCTCTCAACAAAACGTCCACCATGTTTGCTTGCTTGGTTATCACTGCCAGATGAAGAGGAGTCTAAAGGATAAAAACATTCAGTTTAGATAATCCAGTGTACACAGTGCATGAAAGTAAAAAGTATTTTGCTTTCCCACAAAATACCAACATTTTTTAATTCTGTTGCACACTATAGAAATGTTTTCCAATTTTATATTTTATTCTGACTTCAAAGTAATACTTTTCTTTCTTTCCTACATTTCCTGTTATAAATACAAATGCTATGGCTCACAAAAACAAAGATATAACCACTAATTACTCTAAGGTGTCAGAAACAAATACTACCAAAAGATTGTCTGTCTGGTATTAGAGCACAAGTAAAATATCAATTGTGACATTTAAAATCCATATGAAAAAAAAAAAATTTCTTTTGGAGCAGAATGGCTTATATAACTAATATCTGTTATTGTAAGTGACAGCTATAAAACTAAGTTCCAGTTAAAGAAAAAAAAAATATAAATTGGCAGTTAATCAACATTCCATGTTTTTTTCTGTATCCAATATGCAAAATCCAAACAATAAATAAAAAGTATGATGGAATATTTGATTTAAGTCCTTAATTATGTTCAGGGCCTTTCAATGATATCATCAATAAAACAAATGGCATCATAGTCAACAATCCCCAGAGAGGATTCAGTCTATTAACATACAGTATGGCAATGGCATTACTAACCCTAATCCCTAAACCCTAAGGCATCATTCCTACTATTGCAGCTGAATACCACAATGCATTATACCATAGTGCATTGTGGTATTCCATGACAATGTATCAATATATAGATTTTTAATAAGCGAACACACTGAGAGAAGAGCAGTATCAAAGTTGGTTAGTGGTAGCAATTGGTGAGAGATAAAAAGCCTTCTGAACTACAGGAAGGGGGTTCCCCATCTTATTGTGTATTCAGCAAGCAGATGGGCATAGTTAGTTTCAATCTAGTAATAAAATGTATGATTATAGACTATTAAAATAACTATAGTCTAATATTTGCAGGCTCTTTAAAGCCTGAATGATTTTGGAACTAAAACTACATTTAGGTTTATTTTTGCGACACCAAAGTCCAATCACTGCCATTAAGAAACAATGAGCTGCAGCTGCCTATTCCTGAATATAGACAAATACACTTGGCTAACACACCCATTTTAAAAATAGATAACAGGATGGAAAAAAAGCAACTCAGCTGAATGGTTTAGTGATAGGCCTACCCTTTCAAAATGACATAACTTCTACTGATATATACATCAGCATAGCATGAATCAATTGTGAAGCCAATTAGTGTGCCATAATAATAACTTATGAGGAGGAACTTGTTCACAACTTCATGAGTCGTCTTACTTGACACCATGTTTGATCGCCCCAAAAATACAGTGAATCTTCTGGCCATAGTGTGACAAAAAGTGAAAAAGTTGCATTATTTATATGTTCATTCGTACAGAACGGATACATTTATGAACCAACTTGTGCATTCTTTCTTTAGACTGACTAATGGTTCTAGTCAAGGTTAAAACCGATAATATCTCAGGGAAAAGTTGTCATGGAAAATCAGCTCTTCAATTTGGATCCATCTAAAATGACAGGTCGGCTTACAAAGCGTTACTAATGTATCTGTGCTGTGTGAGCCAGCAGTTTACAATCTAGGCACTTTCTAGATTGTTTAACAGTAATAGATTGTAAAACAATCTAGGAGGTGCATAGGTGCACATCCGAAGCACCTCTAGGGTGTGCCTAGAGGTAATCATGAATCATCTCATGATGACCAGAGGAGCAAAGGACACATCAATCAATTCCAAATGTGTCACAAAGGGAAGTCTTTCATAATGGGATTTTCAGCTGCTATTCAAAGTTTTACAAAGATGAAGCAATTGGGATGAAACTGTTGCTCAAAGTTTCACTTTTGTTGTATTACTGGTGTGTGTGTGTTCACGCGCACTGCCTGTGTGTTCCAGTAAAGACTATTTTAAAAAATTTTTGAGCTATGGAAGAGCCAATTTTAGGAATTCCTCCTTTGTGTCATTGTAATGTTCCTCTCTTCAACTCTTGCTTCTCTGAAGTCTGACTCATATTGACAGATGAGCAAAGATGTGAGACCATTTCCGAAAAAGTTTTACTGTAGCTTGCAGCATTCATTCTTACACCACATTGTGTAAAGACACTTCTTCTAAGAATAGTACTCCGATTATTATAACTTTGCGAATTGTATGTGATGCGTCCAACACACACCTGTTGGTCAGGTAAATCATCATGATGTCAGATAAATTTTAGCTGATATAATCAGAAAGTAGGTCAAGCCATCAGTTTCACTTTCAGATTCAAGCATGTAGCATGCTAAGGTCAGTGAATCTTCTCCAGTGAATAAAGTAGGGCTTGAATGGAATAGAATGCAGTCATATTCAATACATTATGCGTGAAGATGTTGCCTAAAAGTGTCTTTTGAAAATGGTAACCTTTAACCGGGCATTAACATACATTAAGCCCACATTCACAATGACAATGTGAATGTGCGCAATGTGAATGACAAGGTTTTTCTTTTTATTGGTGTTATGAAACATTCTTACCTTAAATGCTGAAACAATACCTCGAAAGATTCGATTATTAAAATTCCTTGAGGAAAATTTAGCTGGTTCGAAGCTTCATGAAATTATGTTTTATTATTTAACACACCGAGTTCCAGTCAGAACATTATTTGCGTTGCGCGGAGCTCCCACTTCCGCCTCTGAGTTGTTAACGAATGTAGTGTCAGTGGCATAACATCCAGTTTTCAAGTTTGGCCATGGTGATTTTATTAATTGATGATAATGCCTGGGTTTTCATCATTTTTTGGGGATGACTAAGCATCCTTAAAATGACTGGCATGATGCCTGGAGTACAGCAGTCTTTCTCCACCGGGAGCTGCTGGTTCAAAGCGAACAGCTGGAAAAGCGATACAGGAGTATATATGCAGGTGAGCGGATAGACTGAACACGGTGAGCAACAGCGTAGTGCAAGTGTAGCTTTATGGACGAACCACACAATAAATTTCATATCATCTGGGTCTCAGCAAATGGGTGACGTAAATCATTGTGACGTTACATGGCTGGCCGATGAGTTTAAGAGTGTGACAAATGAAGGTGCCGTAAATACTCCCAAACAATACTAGCTTTCATAAATATTCTCTTTATCCAAAAATATTTCCTTGCATTACTTTTTACATTCTTTTCTGCCTTCCCCACTTTGTGACTCATGACTGTATCATAAACTGCTCACAAAATTATCTGTCTTGAATGATTCAGAGAGCAAATAATTCTGCAATCCTAAGCCTTTTATGGCCTTTTATGGCCTTTTAAAACAAACCACAGAGATTCAGGCCATAGTTTCCAGTAAAAGGACTTCAGTGACTAAGCAAAACTCCTGCATTGATAAGACTTGAGGTGGAGAGGGAGAGTTAGGGTGGGGAGGCACAAGAATGAGGAAAAGAGGAAGCGGTGGAGGATAGTCCAGGGGAAAGACAGGATAAGAGGGAAAATCCCTTCTCTTTCCCTTTTAGTGTGTTCTGATATACAAACATTCCTGCAACATTAGCCAATCAACACGCATGACGGGAAAAGACGAAGAGAAAAGAGCTTTATGGAGATGAAAAACAGCCCGAAGCCACAGGCAGTGCCAAGCAGACGCAAACATGGAATTCAGCAGAAAGAGATAAAGGCCTTCTGCAGTGCATACTGAAGGGCAAAGTCAGTCATGTTGCACAAATAATCACACCTCTTACGTCAGTATCGTTGACAGTTATGCTGATAGCATCACACAGTTTATCAGTTCTGGTTAGAAACTGCGATCTTAAAAACATATACGCAGTAACAGATATGATAAAAAAACAAAACAAAACAAAAAAAAACAATAGTGAGAGAGTGAGGCTGACAGACAGAGAAGCACGCGCAGGAAGGGAAAGTCCCTGTAAACTACCCTCTGAACCTCAGTGCAAGGTATGTTGAGAAACAGCCCTGAGCATTGCAGGCAGGGAGGGGAGGGGGGGTCATGTGACTTCTCGGAACAAGGATACTAAAAACACACAAACACACAGTTGTTTCGTTTGTGTATGTGCACGCACACACACACGCACACATGCAGACACACACTCTTAAGCAAGAAGCAAGCATGCCACCAACATGCTGTACACTAGCTGCACATTAATGACAACAGCATGTGCATATAGATGCATGTGTTAGAGTTGGCACTGCAAAGGAAATAACTCATTAATTCCTACCAATGTTACTACCATGCACAACATAATCAGCTGTCACGACCTTGCAGAAAGAGAAAAAAAAACAAAGCTGTGTGTTTTGGTTAGCGCACTGATAGCATGACCGACGTGGGAGTATCAAACAGCTGGCTCCAAACCAATCATGTGAAAGGCAAATCATACACCGACACTTGCACAATTGTTCAATAACGGTACTGATAGTAACACTCTGTCAAAAAGTTCCAGATGCAAAACCACAGAAACCCAGGATTTGTCATCAATATTGGAAAAAGAGCCTGCATATTAATTTTGGTCTTTGGGAAGTTGCTTAATGCTGGAAACTGTGTCCAACTTTGTCAACTATCTTTTTTTTTTCTTTTGTTGTTTTGAAAAGTAAAAAGTTCCCTGGCCTCATTTAGATAAGTGCGTTCTTTCTGCCTGGTATTCTGTCAAAACCACAAAATCTGGTAGGCAAATGACTGTGATGGGACGTGCGCCTGTGAATCTCCCCTTTGGTTATAATTGCATATGACACGAAGAGTGTATGTGTCTGTGTGTGTATGCCTCTGCGAGGAGTGTGTGTGAGAGTGTGTTGCGTGCAAGCATTTCATACACAGGGCAGGCACAGGATATCACAAAACCTATACTGTCAAGCCTCAGCGATAAGGAAAAAGAACAACTGATGATAGCACCGGTATTATTTCTGGTAAGCATGCCTGCAGCGTCCTGTGTGGTGTGAAACCCCAGCCCTGAGAACGACAGCTCTTGCACAGCTCAGGTGCTTTTTTTCTGTTGAGGGATGAAAAAGACACAGCTGGCAGAGACCAGATAAGGAAGGCAATGAGGTTAAGACAACAAGGGGAGATAGAATGTGGAAGTATCGTCTTAAAAGACGTAGTTGGGAAAAGCCTGGATTGGGAAACACTCAAAGGTAATTCTTAGAGAATTTTCCGGTAAGCTCTCTTTAGGAGACTCAATGTTTCAGTGAAAGTGCTTACAGTGTATACCATTTGTTGATTTGCATGAGTGCAAAGTCCAAAATTCCTTCCACAGTGTAAACAAAAAAAAAAAAAATTACAATTAATTTCTATAAAGGCTATAGGAAGATTAGCATTATCTTCTGACTTTAACAATGATAGGGCAGCCTACTTACAATCCCTAGAAAAATCTATTCTTGAGGGCAAAGTGATTGCAAAACAACTATGGGCAAAAGTATAATAACTTGGAATGGACATAAAGCACTTCCCAGCATGCTCGTTACTCTGGTTTATGGCAAGTACAGGTGAAATATCCAGGAAGGGTAAAATTTACCACACAAACCTCAGACACTATGCCTGGAAGAGAATTTGATAACACAGCACAAGCAAAGGAGGAAACCAAGGCACTTCCTCTTTTATTCTCCATTATTCTGCAGTTACTAGCTGATAGATATGTTTTAGATATTGTCTTATTTGGAAAGGTGTGGCTCCATAAACATTTGAATCATTGGAGCAATTTTTCACCACTTTACTTGTTAAGCTTTTTGTCCAATACAATTATGATTGCTGATCAGTAATCAGATAATTGTAATGATAATAACAGTATTATCATTACTGTTCAGAATTATTCATTAGATATCTAGTATGCACAGAAGAAAAAGTAAATGTTCCCAAATTCAAGTCAAGTCTTCTTTGAGGAGTAAGTCTAAGTTGAGGAGTAAGTCTATGGTAGGCATGTCTAAATCCATTTTCAACTCTTTATGAGGCCATTCCAAATTAAGTCTTTGTGGAGCAAGTTCTTGTTGATCTTCAAGTCTTTGAGAAACAAGTCTAAGTGAAGTCTCAGGTCTTTGTGAAGTAAATCCTAATCAGATCTCATTTCTTTTGCTCCAAAATCAGTGTGAGGTCAAGTCAATGCAGAATTGCGGTAGTTTATGAATTCAAATCATTATCCTTAAGTCTTATAAAACATATGGGCCATTGATATCTTTATTTTAGAAAATGCATGTCAGTATATCAAACACTGCTATTAACTGTTGTGATGTTTTGTTTTGTTTTTTAATGCTAGAAGCTGCACAGTAAAGCTGTGGTTAGCACTGCTGTCCTGCAGCAAAATGATTCCAGGTTCAGATCTCACTCTTGGGCATCTCTGGGTACTCTGGTTTCCTAGCACAAGGTGTTAGATTAACTGATCCATCTAACCTGCCCTCAGGAGTGAGTATATATAAGTAATATTGTTTGTCTTAAGACTGTGTGTTGCCCTTTGAAGACCAGTACAGACTGTACCCTAGTCATTACCCGTGAATGCTGAAGATAAGCAGTCATGATATTAAATATGCCATTAACATAAATGCATTGTTTCACCTGACGAAGATTATTGTAGATATCGAGGCCTCTTCGAGCCAACCCCAACAAGTGGATGAGTTTGTGGACGATGGGCAGTTCCCCTTGAACCACAGCTATATGGAGGGCACTGCAGAGGACACAAACACAAATATTTTCACTCAGTAAACAAGTGCAACATTTCTGAGTACTCAACCAAGTTTCTGGCAGTTGTGTAAAATTTCAACAAATGTGGTCAATATTATACCTGTCACTGGATGATACATGATTACACTCCAAAAATATTTTGTACTTTATTTAAATATTCTCACTGAAAAATTACAGCATCAGCCTAAAATGAGAATCAAAGAAGCAAAACACTGTAGCCTGTGCCATGGATGTACAAGTCTGACTCACAGTACTCTTATCAGGCCGACTTAGTGGGAAACCACTATCTGTGGTCTTTACGCGAGGCAAAAGAACACAGGCTAGAGTTCAAGACAGGGAAGGTGCAGGAAACTGAGAAGGGGGGAAGGCATGCAGTTGAAAAGCAGAATAGCTTTTTTTTTTTCTTTTTTACATATTCTTTCTCATACTATCAGAAGAAACAGCTTCCAGTAAGAGCCAGATTTGTTTTATGTCACATCCTGTTGTCACTGTGAGAAGCACCATTTGCTTTTTTTTTTCTCTGGCTTGCTTTGTGTGTTATAAAATCTAGCCATCAAGCTGCATGGTTTCTTATAGGGGCTTTCTGCAGGTTCGCACTGTCAGCTTTATGGATCAGACAAAACCAGTAAAAGACACTGAACTTCATAACAGGGAACTTCTCAATAAATGTACTGCCACAAATTGGTTTAATGGTGAAAAATGCTTTTGCACTTCCTGTCAATGATGAATTTCTATGATATCCATCTTTATCTCGTCAAACAGAATTATATTTTGTCTTCACTTGCAGAACAAAAAATAAAGCCAAATAATCAGAAATATGACTTGCTTATGCAGACACTTAAATCCCTAAATAAAGTCCAAGTGACTGGCTGCCTTCAGAACCTCCTTAGTAGAAAGAATGAGTATAATTTAACATGTGTACATTATGTGTTCAACTTCTCTATGCACTGTTCAATCCATCCTCTTAAACTACATAGAGTTTACAAAACTGCTCAACAAACTGGTCGGTCAAAAAAAATCTTGATCAAAGAAGTAGCCAAAAAGCCTATGGTAACTCTGGGGGAACTGCAGAGATTCACAGCTCAGTTAGAATAATATGTCACCATCAAAACTACAAACTGTGGACTCTATAAAGCTGACCTTTATAAAGAAGTAGAAAGAAGAAACCATTGTTGGAAAAAAAAAATACTATGGGAGCCCCAGTTTGGGACAAAAGAAACATGGGAAAAAAGATACTCTGATTAGACGAGCCCAAAGCAAAACATTTTTGGTCCTCATGCATATGGTTGTTGTGTGGTAGAAAACTAACAAAACATCAGTTGTTCAACAGAACCCATTTCCATCGTGAAATACATTGGTCCCAGCATTGTGCTTTGGAGAACTTTCTTTCTGCAGGCATAGGAACATCTGGTTAAATACACCATTGGACAATAAAGGTGATACTGAAAGAAGACCTGCAACTATGCTGAGATTCGGATTGAGGGTCAACTTCCAGAAGGATGACCCTAAGCATACCAGAACTGAACTGCAATGCATTAGAATGGGCCAATCAAACTGGAAGTGCAACCGTTAAAGGCAAATACATATTTGCTCCTGGAATCAAAGCGAAAAGCAGAACCTTTATATGCAGAGTGAGAATGACGGTTCTTTCCTCAGTACATCCCTGTTCCTGTAAGTGACCTCAGCACTGTGCATCAACAGACTGTAAAAAAAAAAAAAAGTTAAAAAAGTGTATTGCTCTTTCATAGTTTTGGTCAGTCATGGCCCAGCATTGTGGTGTCAAGTAGTACCAAACTGTTCAGGTATGAATCAAACGAGATTTGTCATTCAGAGCCCAGAGGAAAGTGCTGTGAATAAATAAATAAAAAAAACAGCAGCTGCAGTTTCACTGTGTGAATAAATACTGCATCAGAACTTGGCTCCAAATTCAGAGTTCACTGAACTGGGTGCCTTAACAAAGGCCTGAATTCATCCTGTCTTCTATATCTGCACCTATCTCTCTCTTTTTCTCCTAAGATGAAACTGTACTGTTTCTGCTTCCTAGAAGTGGGGTAGACTATAGCCTGAGGTAACCTCAGGCATAGCGGTACTGACGTAGACAGAAGTCCCAGGCCTGCTATGTTACAGGCAGCCAAAGTGTGTGTGAAAAAAATAGAAAAAAAGAAAAAAAATGAAAGATAAAAAAGTAGAAGGCTGAGAAAAAAAAGGCAGCTTGTATGTGGTATCCTGTTTGGTGTGAAAGTTGAAGATACAGCCAGACATAGAACAAACTGAGTGTCCTGTGGTCTGAGGACCAGCTGAGTAATGATGTGATGCATCAGTTTGTGTAAATTGTTAAAGAAGGAAATTGGTGGTCCAGTTCACAAGAAAAGATGATTGTACAAAACCTCCTGTGCACATCAATGCTATAAAAAAATCAAGATGATAATTAAGTAAAGCAAACTTGTAAGAACAGTTCCAGTGAAATGTTAAAATACACACACCTTTTTTTTCATGACTTTGGGACACATTTGAACTGTTCATTTTTTAGATGCACTGATTATACAATTTCAAGGAATTTCAAACTATAAACTGGATGGATAGATTTAAAATGTATGTGAATTATTCATAATCCATAAATGGCCAATATTATTATACATGCAGACTCAAACTAAAGGGACATCTCCACTATCATTTGGTAAAATGTCCCTTAGAGAATTGAAACTTGACCACAATACACTATCTTCATTATTCATCTAACATTCATGCTTTAAAATGCCTGAGTCAGAAGGCTGAATTCCCATACTAGCAGTAACTCAGATCTGCAGAGCCCTGGTAACAAAAAATGTATTTTGTATGGAGACACGGGGGTTATCATCTGTTTGTTTGAAAATGGAACATTGTTATTACCTCTGAAAAAATATGACAATGTGCTGTACTTCTCTGGGCTTAATTTCCATGCCCATGATGAAAATATTTACTCCATTTCCCCCTGAAGTTAAGAGTTCAGAACTTTGTGGGACTCCTTGGTAGTGAGGATTAAAGCAGATAACTGTTACCAAAATGTACATTTAAAATTTCAAGGCAATATTCCTCAATAATCTTGCACACACTAACTGCTTCTATAAGTGGAACATGTAACGTGCTTTGTAAACTCCGAGTATAAGTTAGTCATTTAAGTGACTTAAACTTTGGAGTAAATCAGTTGTTCGACTTAAATTTGACATCTCTACATCCTGAGTGCAGAAGACAGTGTGACACACAACATAAAAGGAGACAGCGAAAGAGAGAGAGGGTGCAAGATGGGGCTGATAGAAAGAAAGCGGTAAATGAGGAAGTGGGGAGCGGATGTTTGGGTTTTTTGAGCCCATTCATTTAAAAACACAGAGAAGAAAAAAGAGAGAGACAGACACCTGAGAAAAACCGCAATCATGTTAAAAACTGAGCTCTCACTGGCTTTCCCGAAACTAAAGGGCTCATTGACGTAAGAGCAGGCGTGAACACCATCACTCACATTATGCATGCACGCACAATCACACACACATTCGCATATATACAATGTGAAAAAAGGACAAGGGGATGAGAATGTCTCTTTCTGAAGAATTCAGACAAAGTTTCATGCAACCACAAAGTAACACGAACTGTAAAAGCACCACAATTACTTTAGCACAGAGGTTTGTCTGCAAACTGGAATTAAAAGAAGAAGGGATGGCAAGCATGCAAAATGTAAACCATTTAAAAGGTTAAACTAATAAGATCTATTGAGCATCCAGATAAACTGTATTCTGCTTAATATTATTACAACCAACAGCAGATGTGCATGTAGAATATTTAGAAACCAGTATGCCACGGGATTAATAGCTCTTTAAAATCCTGGTCATCACATTTGTTTTGAGTGGATGCAAATTAAGTTGATCCTTTTTGAAACTGCAGCATCAAAGTGTCATTTAATTCTTGAACAGGCTTTGTTTTCAGTCACATGACTTTTGCCCGAGATTGCACTCATGCTCTTGTGTCAGTTTCTCATTTAACTTTGTGTGTGGGAAGGTGCTGAACCTGTAGACAAAGGCCGGCTAGCCATGCGTTTAAAGTTTAGCATTTGCATTCATGTGGTCTGAAGACTCTGTGCCCTGTGGACAGAATCATTCCAAACACCCTTACTCCCACACCCTGAAAGAATAGTCAGCCGACTGTTATAGAAAACAAACGCAATCGCAACAGAGTTTGACAGCTCAAGTAGCTATAATCCAATACTTTGCAATTTTGCTAAATTTCTGCATTGACATTTAATGAATCAACTACGATCAACATACAACTACTTTCCCTCATGGAAAGTTAAACAGCAGTAAAGAATTTGCCTGTATTTGACTGCAGTGTGGAAGCAGTACTGTCTGTACCCACTAAATACGTAAAGACAGGTGAGTCATTGAGGGTGAAACTAATAAACCGGGATGATACAGCAAACATTTTACATTTGCGTTGTGCAATATTACATTTTTTACTCATGAGATCACAAGGTTTTGCAGTGAGACAAGTCTACTTTGCAGTAAGTCAAATTTAGTGTTGAATTAAATAAAATAGCTTGTAAAGATTTAGTATCTGTGATACTAAACTGTTGTTTGAAGCAAAAATGAGGTAAACTACTTACTCATTCTGTTGGAATGGTCTGCTGTTGCAACAATAAGCATTAAGACAATATACGTTGTGTCTTAAATTACTTCTAAAAGCCTGAATACTTGGATCTAGTCAACACATATACATGCACATGCATACTCCCACTGTTTTTGAGTAAGCTGAACCACAACGTAAATGCAATGTAAATGCAATGCTTTACAAATGTATTCATCCCTCTTGACTTTGGCAACTTCAATGTATTTTCAGGAGCTGTATGTTACTGAAGAAGAAACAAGAGTGTATATTTGTGAAGTAGACAAAAAGAAAACTTAAATCTGAAAAATGTGGCATTCATATTATGTACTTGTCTCTTTTACTTATTCTGCTAATAAAAAAATGCGACCCCTTCATACGTCCCATCATCAAAAGTTAAAAGTGACTGTCACAAGAGCAAACTTAATAAAAACATATCAGTCCACCCAAACTGACAGGTCAGGCAAGAAGAGCTTTAAGAAACAGTCAGGAGATCCATTTTAACCCTGGAGAGCCTGCAGGAGACACACATCTCAGGTGGGAGACTGACGCCGCATCAACTATTGTGCATTTCAGAATGGCTGGAAGAAATGCATCGTTTTAAAAATATGTTATCTTCTTTGCAGCTTGTCCAAAACCATGTAATGAACAAAGAAAATACATGGAAGTGGAGAGAGGTTCTACTCAGAAAAGATCAAAGTTAAAATTACTTAGGTTGACAAGAAAAATGCAGTGACTGATGAAATAATACCCTATCCTGTATATGTTGAGATGTTGCATGTATGCTGTGTGTTTGTCACAAACATTCAACTGGGAGTGTTATTCTTTTAAATGTTTTCACCTTTTCTAAGTTTTACTTTGCGACTCATTCACTGTCCTTCCAGTACAAAATGCAATTCAAAAACTTGAGTGGCCATGGATGCAAAATTGTATTAAACACAGATCTGAGTATTCAGTGAAACTGTCTAGGTTGAGAAATGGAGCTGGAACCCTTTGATAGGGTAAACAGACAAATACAAGTCAAAGCTCAAGACTCATGTACATTTTTCACTTCCATTAAAAATTGTAATTAGGTCATGTGTTTGTGGCTATAAAAACTAAATATGTTTGTTTTACTTTAGGTTTGCTTTGTATTTAGGGACGGCATGCCATGCCCACCTTGTTTCAGAGTGGAAAAAAAAAAAAATTGCATTCAAGGTGACATGCAGCATTAGCCACCACCTATAAATGTAGGCCAAAAGTTCAAAGACTCTTGATGTGAGTGATACAGGCAAACACAAACTACCGTGTTTGCACTACACTGTAGAAAGCTAGCAAAGTCACTGATGCATGTGTAATGTCTACAGTGGGAATGACTCCTGCAACTTTTAGAGCAAAACAAACTGAATCATGAGAATCAAAGTAAGCTAACTAACTAAGATAACGAACAAATCTGTACGAATCGTATCAGTATTCAAAAAGATCCAACTGCTTAACTTATCTATTACCATGACAGATGTGTTAATCACTGAATGTGTTCAGAGTGAAGAAAATTAAACAATTAAAGTCCCAGATTCTGAGGAGCTTTGAATCCCATATCATGCAAGTGAAACAAATTTTGCTTCCAAAATGACAGAGAATGATTTTAAAATAACAAAATGTTAACTGTTTTAAAATTAAAAACAGTTGAAACATACCATTTTATGACTCAATCTCTTGATCTCACATCATCAATGTATACTACATAAATTAAGGACAATGCATCTCCTCAGAGACGCGTAAAACTCTCGAATCTTATGAATCTCGCAGGCTCTTAGATCTGTTTCCTATGCCAACTTTCACTTTACACCACAGCCGCCCATCTGACTTCATCTGTGATCCTGAAAATCCAAGTTGGGAATGAATCATGGTGACATTCTCAGTTTACCAACAGCCCTGAGGACTTGAATAAAGGAATGATATGCTCAGTGATAAGTTGCACTGTAACCACAAATTCTGACACATCAACATACGTGTCTCCGTCTTCATCCTGACGTGTGGCCAGAGAAATTCCTGCCAGCAGGTTGTCAGTCTGATGGACTCGCGTGTGATGTGGCTCTGGAAAGGGGGTCAGGCACACTGGGTAGTGACCTGAGGAGAAATGGCAAAAATAAGCAAAAACCATAAAAACAGAATTACACAAAGAAGATTAGAATCAGTGAAGAAAAAAATTATGACGAACAAGTCTTTTTTGTAGTAAGGAAATGTGCATTTGCGGTAGGGTTGTGTGGTGTGTATTCATTTATGAGTTGACCCAGAAAGGTGATGCTCTTCTGTCAGTTGAGGAGTAACTGACAGTAAAGATGAATGGCTGCAGAAGAGCTGACTGGAGATTTTCAGATACAGAACTGCTGCATCAACTACCACTACGCTGGGAAGAAAAACTAAACTTTGCAATAACCTATGCCGGCAGGCTGTCCCAGAGGCTCTAAGAACACCTGAGTCCATGATACATAATAAAGACAGAACTCATCATTTTAAAGCTATATGAACACTGTTATATTGAATCCTAATTTTATTAATCTGTTGAAATTCAGACACACTGCAATTGTTTATAAGTAGATCAGTGATCGAAGGTCTTATTTTCTATTCTAGCTTGTGCACAAAACATGGAATTTCACCCCTGATTCTCAACTCTTAAGGGTGTAATAATTATCATAGACTTAGCTGAAGATTGACCTCTTCTGCTCAGGACCTGTCCTGAACTCAAATAAAAAATATGTCACCACAAATATAGACCTAAATTGTTAAATTATGAGCTTTATCTGTCTTTCCATCAAGCCTGACTTAGTCGTCTGTTTGTCTACCAAAGAAAAGCATACCCAAACCATAACTTTTCCAATATTTATCATTACTATTAGCAGTAGAAGGTGATGGCCAGAGTTTTTTTTTTTTTAACTCATCTGACCAGAGCACCCTATTCCAGAGCCCATGTAAGAACTTTGCAGCCCTCACATGGGCTGCAAAGTCCATGTGAGGGCTTTGCAGCCCATGTTTAATACATAAACATTGGCTTTTCACATGTTTAATACATAAAAAACACATCAAATTAATGAGTGGGTACACAGGCATAACTTCCTGAAGGACTGGTGTGGACATGTCCCCACCAACTCTGGCATGAAGGCATCTGGCATCATATCTCATCTGCTGCATGCAAGTCAGTTATGCAAAGTTCTTACCAACCAGCTGAGGATCAGCTGTGGAGTCAAAATCACATAAATGAAAAGCACAGAGTTTGTTCTGACAAGGATTCATTTGGTTCACACATAAGTTACTTATGCTATTTTTGAAATGTTTAATAATATTTAGATTGCTGCAGTATTTTATTGTTGATGTTTTTAGTACTTGGTAAAATCAGACATAAAAGGCAACTATGTGATAATTCTTCAAAAACATATTACTGAATTGTAGGTAAGCATCCAGCAAATACAGGCTGATTAAATAAATTAGAATATGATTAAGAAGTTCCTTTGTCAGCAGTTCCATCACCAAGTGAAAGACATGATGCAGATCAATTAGATTATATGTTTTAACATGATTATATTTTGTAGTATGTTTAATACCTGCTAAAAGATTATTTGCGAACGGTGCTGATGAGGATTATATCCTAATTTATTGAATAAGACTGTCTGGCATTCACATGTAAGTTTTGGCTTTATTCTTAGCACTAGAAAAGAAAATGAAACACAAAGTTACATTGAGTGGGCATATCTGGCATGGGCTGTGTGTGTTTGGTGCAAGCTTGTTGTAAAAACTTGTTTATTCACCATGTTGGCAATTATATAGGAAATCTTACTGTTGATGACTATGAAATCTGAAAAATGGGCAAGACAGATTTATTCCAGAGCTTCACACAGTTTAGGGTTAAGAAAGACAGATTTCAGAGAAAACGGGGAAAACATAGTAATTATGTGAATGCTGGTCACAAGTGCTTACCGTAATTAATAATGGGCAAAATGCAGCAGGAATAGCCTTCCGGACTGGGAGCTACTTGGTCGGTCCGCCTGTGCGTCACCGGCGCAACGGCGAACCTGCTTTCATCGCTGCTCTCTCCAAGCGACTATCCCCACTCTTCCGGACTTTCTGCTCCTCTGCGGGGGAAGAGCAGGGTGAGCTCGCCTCTGAAATCGGCGCAGCCGGCTTCTGGACCTCCGGTTCGACGTGAAACGTGCGCTTCCTAAAAGGAAGCTTCGATGGAGTCTTTGTGGGAGATGAGTCCGCTGCTCGTTTGCCGAGCAGAGTGCTTTTCGCGTCCGGGGAGCGGCGAACCGCTGAACTGTCCGTCCCGGTGCTCGCAGGAGGCGCAGGTGAGCCGCCGGTCGCGCGGGCGTCCCCGGCGCAAAAGGTTAAGTCCCCCGCGCTCCTGCGCCCTCGAGCTGTGGTGCTCAGATCCAGCGGCGCTGCGGCAACCGACTGGTGGTCAACGCTCATTGTAATAAGACTCGGCATCAACTGAACCAGGTTCAGGTGACAGCGCAACTTTGGCCACGTCCAGAGGAAAAAAAAAAACTAATTATATCAGACAAACCAAAGTGAGAAACTCCAATATCTAAAGGGAGGAAACGGGCGACGATCAAATCAAACCATTGCCCTGTTTCCCTTTTTGTCTCTGATCAGAAAAGCGCTCAGATGTTCAGACTCATGCAAATATACACGAAGGAAAAGCCAGGAGAACTTCTATCCCTGCGCACCTTTCTGAGCGAGCCTCAGAGGAGCTGCGCATCTGCTCTTAATGAACGCCTGTTTGACGCTGTGGGCCTGCTTTCGTTTTAAACCGAAACAATGAGCAAGAAGCTGTTAATTACACCGAGCTGGGCAGGAAAGGAGTTTAACGCTGCGCTGAATTCGTGGTAATTTTTTTGCATTTCCGTAGTCTGATTAACTGACTGTTTTGCAGACGAGTTCAAAACATTTCTTGAGAATTTAAAGCAGGCATGCTTGTCTTTTTTGTCTTTTTTTCTTCTTTCCTTTTCCTTTTTTCTTTCTTTTTTTTGGGGGGAGGCAAGCAGGTGAGAAAAAAGGGAGACCAGTGCAGAAGCATGGGGACACAAAGCAACAGATTCAACACCTTATGCCATTTATGTAATGAAGGATACTGGTGGTCTTAATGCCAAGAATGAAATATTTTCAGCTAAGTTTCCTGCAAGTTTCCATGTACTGGATCCATTCCTACATACCTGACTGATTTGAAGTTATTTCCAGTACCATGATGGTACTGAAAGATAAACTTCCCGTCGGAAATTTTTATGTCCTCTTATGCTTCCATTAACATAATTTTGGACTTTTGATTTGTATGTTATCCATCACACATTTTGAGTGTCTCGTGTTCATTACAGTAGCCCACTTCCATTTCTGAACTGATTTGATCTATTTTCTGTGAAAAACAAACAATAGTTTCCTGGCTGTAATGCATTACAGCTGATTTCATCTGCAAAAAACGCAGAAAGTCTTTGGTAACGGCTCAATCAAACTTCCACATTTACTTCTCCTCTTTGCATCTTATTTCTCCAAATGCCTTGTCTAATATTTTTGACAAGCCGTCTCTCTTCTAGCATGCAGTTAATTATGATGCATATCTGAAATCTGAAAAGATTTATACATTTTCTGTTGCTTGGGTTTGGGAACACCACCAGCCTGCATGTTAAGCTTAGCTCAAGAAACCACAAACAGATGAACAAGGAGAGTAGCAAACAGTAGATGCTCCATGATGACTCATGAAGCATTGCTACTAGTCCTACTGCGAATTCACACCCAAGCAGACATAGTCTTTTTTTCCTTGTCTATAATCCTGTCTTACCCCACCCCTAGCAAGGTTCACATTACCTGGGTCAATTTGGGACTTTCCTCTTTCCACTGAAGTGTGGAGTGGGCAACGGAAAGTCAAGCTGTGTGTCTAAAGTCCCTGAAACACTCTGACACTATCAACACGTCCTGCAGCTGTCAGTGCACTCAACCATTGTGGTTAAATGTGGAATAATTTGTAATTATTTATCAAAAGTATACACTTGCTTGCACATTTACAGCCTGCTTACTCCTGAAAACACACCTCTTAAAGCCTACAGCACAATGCAAACCATAGAGCCCCAATGATCGTTCCATTCATACTGACTTTCAACAGAAAATATAATAATACTCCTTAATGTATAGGTTCATCCTTCAGCAGAGTGCATTCACAGAAAATCACAGGGTAACACATCAAAGTACATGCGAGAAATGTGGCCCTCTTGTGAGAGGACGAAAAAAGTGCAACACAGCTCTCAAATTACAGTGTGATTAAATACACACTGTGTATTTAATTATCTATTACATGCACAGATTGTTTTAAACTAATTTTGTACCTTTGAATTTATGCAGTAGGGTGCTGAGTGGTTTTTGACTGGCATTTTCAGCAGCAGGTGTTTTAACTGCGAGCAGTTTTATTGTTGCTTTGTTCCAAAAAGTGAAAGGTGTTTCTTTTTTTCCTTTTTCCCAGGAAAAAGTGCAGAGTTAATTAGTTGTTTTTAAATAACTAACTTGAAAAAACGATGCTTTTAAATGAGTTAAATTAGAAAGCTTAACCTTTCTGGAAGCAACGGTTAAGTTGTTCAGCACAGGGCCATGAAATTTATATAGCAGTGATATATTTTTTTTAAATTAAATATTTTATTCATTAGCATTTTAATTGAAAAAAAAAACAATTTACTACCTAAGTCCTGGTACAGCAACATATATGTATGGAATTATGCTGGTCAATATTTACAAATTCCACTAAGTTTGCTAACTGTATCTTTCTAAAGTAATACATAATAATTATGTAAGAGAAAAATGATGGAGGATTTTCAGCAATTTTCACAAATAAACTTCTGAAGAGAGTGGCATGAATTTGTACACAGCCTTCCTGAGACAACATTTCGTGTAAACCATTTCTTGTAATTGTAGCTTGAGGTCCCTTTGAGGTATGTCTTTAACTGACTGAAATAATTGGCCTTGCTTGTTTGATAAATAGCAAAAACGCAGTCAGACTGAATTGGGAGCATCTGCCAAGAACAATTATAAAGTCTTGCCACACAAACTATCAGTTGGATTTAAGTCTGGACACAGAATAGCTTGTTGCATGTTTATGGTCATTGGCATCCTGCAACACAAACCTTCGTCTAAGTCTCAAGTCTTTCGCAACATCGCACCGGATATGTCCCAGTACTTTGCTTCTTTTGGCTCTGTCAATTTTTCCATAATTTGTGCAGTTGTTGAATCACTGTAGGAGAAAGCTGAATGTTGTTCTCCAGACTTGAAGAGAACAGGCTATTTTTTTACCAGGCCATTTACTTCAAACCACAGGATGATGCCACCTTTTCTCATGGGGAAGGTGTGTCATCCGGATGATCTGTTGTGTCAGTTTTCTGTGACACATAGAGATTCTTTTGGCTTCATTAACTGAATCTCTGCAGCTCTGCCAGTTACCATGAATTTCCTTCTACCTTTTTCCCTGGTTAAAGCACTTCTTGCCCCATAGTCTTATGGAGTTGAAACCAAAGGTTGCATATACAATACATTAAAAAGACAAATATATATTTTTCCTTATTTGATAGATAAATAAGTCCATTTTTTTCTCATTTTAGAGAAAATATATGTCAGATTTATTTATTGATGTCTTCAAAATCAGATCACACATAGAAAGATTACTATGTCTGTAAGCGACAAGGGAAAGTCCAGTTGATGATGTCATGGCTTTGGAAACTTCTGATACGTTAACTGACACGTTTGAGCTAATTGGAAACCAAAGACCTTGAGAGGATGCTGGCTGAAGCTGGTAAGACAGAGACATCATTTACAGTGAAATATGTTCTGCACTAATATGTGCTGAAAAGCCACTAAGCAAGGAGGAAGCCATTACTGCAAAAAAAAGAGGGAAAAAAGCCAGTGTGCTGTTTTCAAATGCACACAAGGACAAAGATATCAATTTATGGAGCCATGTCTTGTGGTCTGGAATTAAAGAGAAATTATTAGGCTGTAATGATGATTGTTACATTTACTGATTTACTTTTAAATCCTTTCTGAGTTGCACAAAATAGGACCATCAGGAAGTTTCACAGATATTTCCTAGATATCCGGTCAATTATTGAATAATATTGATTTTTGTGATTTCAGTGGGGGTGGGGAGTTAAGGAATTTGTCAATACTAGGAAAACTGCTTGGTATTAGCTTTCATTTGTGTCTGATCTAATTGGTCTATTTTAGGTGGAGTAACAAACAGCAGCCTCATGATGGAGCTAGAGGAACAGTAGACATGCGACCAACATCATTTGTATGGTGTGAAAATCTGCACCAATAAATATGCCATTCAATGAAACACTGTTTTTTTTTGTTTTGTTTTGTTTTTTCTCGTGGCAACATCTGTGTTGGACCTTCTGAAGGGTCATTGTCTGAATATCTAAAATTTCATATCATTGCATAAAGGCCAACTGCAGAACTTACAACAAGTTTCCTACTAACAGCTGAGAATATATGATGGTATTTTGACATGGTCATTATTGTCTACACTGGTTAGCCCTTGTTATCAGAAAACAATGTTCTATTCTTGCTCTCTCGGTGAGTGACTGCCTTTTGCTTTCATTCTAGTAAATCTTAGTTATGAGTGCACACCTTCCTGTCTACCTCAATCCCTCCCATCTCTCTCTTGCTCTCTCTCTCTGCCTCTCTTTCTCTCATACTCACTCTCTGTTTTGCTCACACTATCTCTCTCTCTGTCTCTTTCTTTCTATCTCTCTCTCTTTCTCTCTCTCTTTGTCTCTCTACCCATACTTTTTGCCTGAGCAACAGAGCAAAGAAAACAGACCGGTTTGTCTTACTGAAACCAGGAAACCAATCAAAGGCAAGACAAGTAGCAACAAAAAGGGTGACCTGAAGAGAGAGAAGAAGCAGCTCTTTTTTCACGGTGCTGCATGTAAATATACCTTCTCCATTGGCCTTGAGATTGTAGGATTGTTATGCTGCTGAGATAAATCTGGTAAGAAAAGTATGGTGTTAAAGAGTGACTGTGTGTGTATAGTAGAAGAGAGTAAGTAGGCTAAGAGGCACCCGTAAATGCTGCCTTACATTCAATTTTCTTTTCAAGTTCTAACACAGCAGTGTTTACGCTGGTCATAAGTGCTCCATTTTTTAGGATGTAGTAGTATGTGCAGTCCAGTACAAAACAGTGTGATGTGTGATATGGGTTGTATGTGTTAGGTGGAACAACACCGGATGCTGTTTGAAGAGGATAGGATGCGGCGTTCTCAGATCTACTTGAGGACTCTCAAATATTATTGGACTGACTGCGAGTGCCAGTGTGATCAATCAGAAACCTGAACCATTTAAGCTTCAGCTCCACCCATGTTCTACTTATCAGTTCTCATGCATTCAAAACTGAACTTTGACATCTCATGACAGTTTAATATAATCTGGTTAAACGCCCTCCTATGCAGACACATACTGAAACACGGACGTTTGAGGTACTTTTTGCTTCACTTCACTTTCAAATACACAACCAGGATCTTTATGGCAGAAGTTGGTCCAGGAGCCTCACGAAGCACCAGAATGAGCTGTAAACCCCTGACTGGTGAAGACCTACGACTGATGGAAAAGACCCTCAAAAGACTGGAAAGGCTTTCGGAGCTGTGTACGAATCCCCGCCTCAGCCTGAGGAACAGTCCACCGTTTCTGCCCGATCTGGTTCGAGAGACTTTGACTTTGGTCACGCAGGTCTGGCTGCCTTATCAAGATGTCAGGGCAGGAGGAGGCCTGGCTCCACGAGGGGACGA